TGTGCAGCTTCCCCCCCCTGCACACAGGGAGGGGTGGGGGAGCCCCTGGTTTCCACAGGCCCTAGGGTTATCCAGCCCCACTTGGCAAGGGAGGTGGCTTTGCAGACAGGGCTGGCATGAGGCTGGGGGCCGGGGGGGCCACAGGGCTGGCATGAGGCTGGGGGAAGAGGGTGTCACAAGGGGAGCAGGTGCAAGTTGGGGGTGGCATGGAGGGAGCAGGCAGGAAGTGAGGGGCTGGGGGTTGTGGCCAGAGGGGAGAGTCTGCGGATAGGGGAGCACCGAGGGGCAACAGCCCCCTCCCATGCGGGCTGCACAGGGGCCTTGTTCCCAGGCAGGAGGGGGAGGGAAAACGGTGCCCATGTCTGCCCCATGTCACACCTCGCCCCCACACTGACAATAGCTGAGCCCCCCCTGCCACTTCCAGCGCCAGATCCCAGGCCTCTGCCCCAAGAACAGCCAGGGGCCAGGCTCCCTGTGAGAGCCCTGAGCTGCCCAGGGCAGGGCATTTACCCAGCACCCTCTGCCCCCGGGCAGGATCGTCACACAGCAGTGCCCCAGGGGCACGGCCCCGGCGGGTTCCCACCTTTCCTAGGGATGGCTCAGGCAGCAAAGTGCAGCCCCGGCTAATAGAACCAATTTCCAGCCGTGGGGCAGGTCTGTGCAACACCCCATCCTCTCTGCGTGACAAGGCTGCGGGGCCGGCTGGTAAAAGGGACCGTGCGGCCGCTACTGGGGCTTGCCGAGGCAGCTGGCGTAGCACATGGCACCCGGGAGATGCCGGCTCACGCCGCGGCCCCAAGCCCGGCACACCGGGAAATGGGTCGGGCACACCTGCGAGAAGTGGGAAGAGCTAGAACTGGGGCGTGGGCACCACAAAACACCCGGGGGCCGCGGCCAGACAACCCCTGCTACAGTGTGGCCCAAGCAAGCGCTGAGGTTGAAGGGTTTGCTCCGTAACCATAAAGCCAAATGCTAAACCCTCAGGCAGGGAGCAGCACGGCCAAGCTCGCTCAGAGGGGTCCCCTGCTCCCCCACAAGGGCTGAAGGGTAAGCCCAGTCCCCGGCGGGAGCAGCTGAGCTGTCAGGCACCTGTCCCTTACAGCGCTCGCTAACTCCCCGCCGCTGCCAGGAGCCTGCGAGCACTCGGCTGGAGAGGCCGACCACAGCCAGCACTATGATCGCAATGGGGACAAGGCCCCGCTTCCTTAAGGTCTCGGTGTGAAGTGCCCTGACCCACGGCCGCACGGGGGCTGTCCGGGAGAGGGACGGGGTGCAGAGAACAGGGATGTTACATTTAATCAACTAATTGATGGATTTTCCATCGACTAGTCGATAAGCCGGGGAGCCGCAGTTCCTGGCCCAGGAGGTATCCCGGCTGTGGCTCTGCCTCCTAAAGGGATTAAGAGCCTGTTGGCTCTTACTACACTGAAAAGGCAGGGGGGAGAGGGGGAGAGACCAGGCACAAGAGGGGAATCAGCTGTCCTGGCTCAGGCCGGGTCCCTCTGGCTGTGCCTCAGCCTTTTACATGGATTAACAGCCAGCAGGCTCGTCACACATTTAAAAAACAGGGACTAGGTGCATCCCAGACTAAGTGCATGCTGGGAATCACCTGAGGTCCAGCTCCTGCCCGGTCCCCACTACCCCCTCCCCAGAGATGGTGCTGGGGGGAACTGGCTTTTAAGATGGCTCCCCCCCAGCACTGGCTCCGAGGAAGCAAGGGGAGAGTGACTAGTCAAGGGACCAGTCAACTAGTCGCTTACATCCCTAGCAGGCGGGCATCACTCTCAGCCCCCGGATACATTCAGCAACTAAGCCCCAAAAAGGCCCCTCCCGCGTGTCCGGCAGAGGCGGCCCCAGCCAGGGAATAGGGACAGGAGGTTTATTGATACACCGGATACATGTGCACATTGAACAGACGGGATGCACAAAATAAATAACCCTAGCCCCTCCTGGAACACGGCAGGCTAACGACCGGGGCTCCACAGGCCGTTCCTTAGGGAACCGAAAGGCAAACCCCAGGACCGGACCGGCCCCCGCGAGCCGCACAGCACGGAGCCAGAGCGGGGCGAGGACCTTCAGCAGCGCCAACGTGGCAAAGGAGACCAGACACAAAATCCAGAGCCAGGCCTGAGGCAGTCCCAGCGGCACCTTGGCAGGAAGGGTCACAGCATTTCCACGCGCACTCATGGCACGGGCTCTGTCCAACAGGCGCCTGCATGTGGGCCCCACCCGCAGCTCGGCTGGGACGGAGGAGGGGGTTGTGCGTAGGTGGGGGAAATACAGCTGGAGGGGGGCAGAGTACCTGGCAGCTCACCAGCGGGATCCAGCCGTGCTCTCTGCACCACCAGACACTGCCTTTCCTATGGCACGTTCTTGGCGATGCAGGCGTCTGGCTCGCGGACACATGCCTGGGAGCCCTGAAGGGCTGCAGAGCTCTCCGGAAAAGGAAACATTTGGACAAAGAACCTGGTGGGAGGGAGGAGGTCAGCGCAGGCCCTGCCCAATCGGAGACAAGGCACCAAACAGCACAGGCACTTCGTGGCAGTGTTTCAAGAGACAGGAGAGTTGGAAGCTGTGTAAGAGCCCCGGGGTGGGGGTCACGCTCACACCACAACGGCCCCGTTAACAGGCATGCAGGACTCACTTTCTGCACTGCTTTCCAAGGGGCGACTCCCCAGGAAGCCAAGCTGGCGCCTGCCTCAGTCACACAATATCACGGATTTTTCATTTTACAGCCCAGAGGGTGAACGTGAGCTACCAAAGGCTGTCACACACGCCGCCCCCTCTCCCCCCACCCCCCGCGCGGGCTGGTTGGTTTGCAGCGGGTTCTCGAGGGGTTACGTTCTGACAGGAAGCCCGAAGGATCCTGGATAAGGAGGTAGGCACTGAGCAGAGATGCTCTGGGGGTCAAGCTGTGCCCAGACAGACGGATGCTGCTGCTCTGGGAGGGCACTTGGGAGCCAGACCAGACGTGTTCCTAGTCCCAGACCTTCCCGCCCTGCTGTAAAGACGGAGGGCAGCCTGGCCACCGGAGGGGGAGATGCTCCCCCGAAGGGGCAATGAATGGAGGTCCCGGGGTGGCCTGGCTGGCCTTTCGAGATGCTGGGACAGATCCTCCAGCCAGAGGTCACACAATGGCTGTATTTGGCCAGAGGGAGGCAGCAGGCAATTCCCTGTGGCAGAGGTGACACAGCCTCTTCCTATGCCAGCTGCTCCTGGCACGAGCGGAGTCTGGCCCCAGGGAGCAGTCTGCCCCACAGCCGTAGCGTGGCACCCACTGCAGAATACTGTAGGCAAAAGGGCAGCTTTCGTGGCAGTGGCACCTGCTGCCCCAGAGAGGCAGGAGCCGTGCTGGGGGACCTGAAGCCCTTTTCAGCAGTCGGGAAATAATGGGGGTCCCCTTGATGAGACCCCAGCCGCGGAAACAGGAAACCCGACGTCACTTCACACCCACTGGCAGCCTAGATTCTGATGAAGGCATGAGAGAGACAGAGCCCCCGTCCGACCCCAGTCAGCCACCGGCGTTCGGGGGGCTCTGTCACCGACCGTGCCGGCTCACTCTAGAATTGCCCAGCCTCAGCCTCGCCCCACTACAACAGGCCGGGCGGCAGCGCACGCGGCAGCGCTGAAGGCAAGGCCTGGGGCATGGGGCAGGCCGGAGCCTGGCAAAGGAAGCAGCCATGGGAAGGTACCAGAGCAGACAACATTACAACGACTATAGCAAAAATACCGAGGCCTGGAGACCCCCCTGCCCACAGAGGTCAGGCCACCAGCAGGCAGACTGCCCCCAAACCTCTGTTGCAGGAACTTCACTGTTGCTGGGGTCTAAGTCCCCACCCAAAGCAGCAGGACGGCCTCGCTACTTCCGCCTGGGAGCCCTTCCCCTGGGTTTGCAGAGCTCCCAGCACTACGAGGGCCTCTGGGGTTCCACTGAACTCTGACCATTAGGGAAGACAGCAGCTTGTTTTGGAATACTTCACGGTCTCCTTCCCATCGGGTTGGCACGTAGCCATTTGGCGTTGCACTGGGAGGGGCCAGGAGACAGACCACGGCTGCGTCCCTGCCCATCTTGGCTAAGAGCCCTTTTGTGAACCCTGTTATAACTTGGGCCTTTCTTGACTCATTTTGTATCATCTGCACATTGCACCTCTTCCCTGCACATCCCCTTTTCCAGCTAGTTCTGAGTGTGACCAGCGCGGTCCCGGTCCGGACCCTCGTGGGATGTCACCCTTCCTCCCTGGCTACTGAGGGGACCATTTGTTCCACCACTGTGTCTCCTATGGCCCTTCCCTCTTACAGCCATGACTGCGTGGTTTGCTTCACAACGTTTTTGGGGGGAGGTTGGCAAAGGCCCGTGAGAAGTCCAACTCCAGTACATTCAAAAGCAGGATCCAAAGTTGCCTCGGCTGTATGCAGCCTGTTGGCGGTTCGCTTTGGAAGCCCTTGGTTATTTCTGCGAATGCGCCAAAATCTGCAGGATCCAACGGAAAGCTTCCTCCGAAGTCAGAACCAGCTCCCCCGCAAGCCCAGGCCAGCTGAAACTAACGCCCAGTCAGAAAGAAGAGACCAATTCACACAGTATTGCTAAGTTCCAATAGGCAGCCTCAGGTAGTTCCCTTAGCTCTTGACAGGACATTTCCGGGGGCTGGAGTGAATAGTGTGGAAAGCAGATCCTTAGCCCAGGACAATGCATTAGGGTGCAAAGTTTCACACCGGGTCTCGGCACTCAGCGATCGCTTCCAGTCAAAGGCCGTTTGCTCTCTGCTGCCTCCCTGCAGGCGCTCACTGGTCGGCAGCAGAAGACTGAACTGACGTCCCACTCAGCCAGTTTCCTGCCGGTCCCTTTGGTGACCGTGACCATTATTTCAGACCCGTATGTGGTGAGTGGCTGCTCTTCAGGCTAGTACCCATACCCACATGCACAGACGGCAACTTCGACCTCCAGGAGGAGCAAAGAACGCATGTGCCTTAGGTGACCAATCACGCACCAAGGACAATGCATAGCACAGCAGTCCCAGCCATTTTCAAACAACCCGGTGGCTAAAATTCATTCCCAGCTGCAGGGAGCTGAGCAGTCACAGAGAGCAGCTGTGTACATGCTGCCGCTCAAGGAATGAAGCGTCACTGAGCGCACAGGAGGAGAACGCACCCAGGCCTCGTGGGTAGAGGGAAAGGCTGGGGGAGGGGGCACTGTCCGAGAGGGCCTAACCACTCTGCTCAGACACCTGAGGGAGCTCACTGGCAGAGGGAAAGACTCCTCACTAGCATGCACACACCAGCAGATCACAGCTTTGGTGCCAAAGGTTCAAGCACACGTGCCCAAGAATCGTCCCCCCGCCTCGCCAGTCCCATGTGCTGCAGGGCAGCTGGGCAAAATCATCCGGGCAGTTTTTCCAAGGGACTAAAAAGGGAGCTGTGCTGGTTAAAGACAGGAATTATTCACTGGCTTGGGCAGCAGCTCTGAAGACATCCCTCTTTCCCATCACCTCCACCAAAACCTGTGTACCAAAACCGGTAACAGCATGCAAAGAGCTCTCTCTCTGCAAGGCGATCTGAGATTTGCCACTAGGTGTCCCTCTCACTCCAAAATGCCCAGCTTTTGAGAGTAACAAACACTTAGACCTCCAACAAGTGGTTTCTACCCACAAAAGCTGATGCCCAAGGAAATGTTTGTCTTTAAGGTGCCCCAGGGCTCCTCGCTGGTTTTGCAGATACCGACTAACCCGACAGACCCTCGGAGATGCTAACGGCAGTCACATTTCACTGCTAAACGCGGCCGGGGAGGACAATGTTCACATACTGAGCAGGAGAGGTCTGTCCGGGGAAAGTGCAAACCAGCAAGATGGGCACAGATACACAAACAGTGTGTTATTTACGAGATTATTCAATCCTGCAGCCAGTGACCCAACCTCTCGCTGGGCCGAGTCTCAAGAACAACAGTTAAGAGGGGAAAAAGGTACATGCACGCAGGGACTCCCAGTGGGGCAGGTGGGCAAAGGTTAACGTGGGAAAGCCACCTCTGGGGCACTTTTGCACTCCTGAGTCTCGGCCTGCGGGCGGAGAGGGGCAGAGCAGATGGAGGGCACGCGCACTGTTGCCCAAAAGCAGAGCGGACGAAATGGCCTCATTAGCAGAACTATCTGCGATGGCAGCACATTTCCAGAGACAACCCCGCCCCCCGCCTTCACTCCTGCCCTAGGCTCTCCTGGGGGGCGAGAAGGCGACACACAGACAGAGAGACAGGAGGTTACCTGAGGTTCTAAGAGGAGCTTGGACTCGCCCCCCAGGAAAGCTCCACCATTCCCTTCCTGGCTTGCACAGGGCTGCGGTCTGGGCGTAAGCATGGTAGGTCTAAGACAACTGCCTGCACAATGAGCCGTATGGCTCCCGCTGTGTGCACCCGAGCGTCCTCGGTGCTTTCCCACTGAAGAGACGAGGTTGCATCGGTCAGAACGGGAGCTCTGCTCATGCAAAGCCCAGGACGGTGGGATCAGCTGGGATCTCTTCGGAGGGACTCTAATCAAACCGGTGAGAGAGGATGACAGCCCGTCCAGAGGCCAGGCCTGGGTCACGCCATGACGCAGTGCCACACACACCTGAAAGCCAGCCAGCCCTCTGGAGCCAGACACTGAGTCACCGAGAACCAGCTGAGACGACCTCTCTAAAAGCATTTTGTTCCCCAAAACATATTAGGCCCTACATCTTCCAGGAGGGACGTCACCCAGGACCTTTCCGGATGACACAGCCTGCGACGGCTGCAGTGCTTTGAGGAGTAACGCTGCCGACCCGGAAGGAAGAGCCTCCTGGGCGAGACACGTGTTCCTGCAGGCTCTGTTCCAGCCAGGAACACATTGGGCCAGACCAGAACTCAGCAGGCGCCAATCTGGCCTTTTCTGAGGCCAGGTCTACACTAAAGGGGAAGGTCCAATCAAGATACACAACTCCAGCTACGTTAATTACATAGCTGGAATCGACAGACCTTGATTTGAGTTTTCCTATCATCCCCGCAGCGGGAGGCCGATGGGAGCAAACACTCCTGTCAGCTTCCCTTACTCCTCGCAAGAGCAGGAGTACCGGCTGCGGATGGGTGCACCCTCTGAGTGTGACTTAGCGGGTCTTTTCTAGACCCACTAAATCGAACTCCGGAAGATCAATCGAGTGAAGACCTGGCCTGAAGCTTCACTTGCCCTACAGCAGGGGGAGAAGGCCTTTGAAAGGGCTTGTGGGTCAGGAAGTGGCAATCAGGGGTCTAGCGCCTCCTAGCCACAGGAAAGATTCTGCCTTAGCTCCTTGTTTTCCTCTCTGGATCGAAGTGACCGACGGAGCAGTGCTTCCCGAGGTTGATGCTCCAGGTTGAGTGTCTGGTAGGAAAAGCTCCACTCCCAGTGCGGACAGGGAGTTTCTGTAGTGACATGACCCCCCCCCACACCCCGCCCCACTCCCTTGTCCATGCCACAACCTGCCCTGAAGCTCCGGCTGCTATCCCAACAGCAGGCCTGGAGATGGCTGAATAGGAGGCAAGTGCATATTAGCTGGGACAGTCACAGTTTTGACCCGGTAACGTGGCACTGTTGGAACCACCTGTCTCTGTTGGGTCCATGGCACAACACTAGGGTGCAGAACCCAGAAATTCAAAGCCAGGGGTGAAAAGGAATGCCAGCTGGCCTCTGAGGTCACCCAGACCACAGGGCACCTGCCATCACCAAGCTCTGCTTCCTGCTGTCCTTGTGCTGCCTGCCTCAAAAGACATCTCAACTGGCCTCTGCAGACCCTCCCTTTGTGCCCAATTCCCCCTCCCCCGCTCTGCCCTGGCTCACAAGCCTTCACTTCTCAAGACTGGGGGGACCCTCCTGAGTGGCAGCTCGGGGGCAGGGGCTTGCTTTAGGAAAGCCCTTTTTAGGTGTCCTGCAAAAAGTGTAGCTCCTGCAGGACCCTCCCCTCCTCAGGGTTAGGAGCCCTCAGCCAGGGCACAGGGACCTGCCACTGCAGATGGTCTGCGCTCCAAGGAGCTCAGTCTAGCTTCCAGTTTGCCCACCAATCCGGCAACAGCATGCGTCACCTGGGACGCGACCAGTCACCAGGCTCTCAGGGGGAACCTCTCTGCTTCCTGCCCCTCCCTGAAGACTCCAACCGTGGCTGTGCGCATGCGACGCCCACCAGCATCAATGGCATGACTTCATGGAGCCCATCACAAGTACTGTCCATGCCTATCCAGGGACTTGACACCCTGGGATCAATAAATAGCTACAGGCAGCCAAACCCCTGGGCCGGGGAGGGGGCTCTTCTCTTCACATGGCTCCCTGATTTGCTGAGGAGCGGAGGCTCTGAACTTTGACCTTCGCTCTGGGCCGGAACGAGCACCAAGGCGGCCTTCGCTGCCCCGCTTCCTGTAGCGGGCTCCGAAACGCCGCCCAGCTGAGGGAGGGGTGCCCGGTGGGGGGACAAGGGTTCCATTTCCCCTGAGCCTCGTGCACACGGAGGGCCGCTCCCGCCGGAGGAGCCTGGGGGTCCCCGCGCACCTGGGATGACAGCTGGCAACCCAGCCCCTGCGGAGCTCTCAGCCATTGCACTGCTGCTGGTAGCGCAGGTTGAGCTCCCGCAGCTCCCGCTCCCGCCCCCGCCGCGACTTGGTGGACTTGGTGGAGCGGCTGGAGCGGGTGGACTGGGCCGACTTGGTGCTCTGGCAGCGCGAGGAGGCCCTCTTGAGGAGGTTCTGCGAGATGGAGCGGTGCAGGTTCTTCATGGACGAGGAGGCTGCCATGCTGACTACCCAGGGGTGCTTCAAGGCCTGAAGCGCTGTCATGCGGTCGCCGGGATCCACCGTGAGCAGCCGGTCAATGAAGTCCTTGGCCAGATTGGACACGCTGGGCCAGGGCTGAAAAAGGGAAGGGCAAGGATGAAACCACACTAGTCCCGGGATTCTGTTAGACAAGCACCACCCTTCCCGCCCCGGGAGGGCAGCCACGCCCTGCCACGCTAAGACTGGTTTCACGTGCAGGCATGTCCAGACACTTCCCTCCTCCCACAGCCCCACACTCATCCAGCTTCAAGTTAGGGATGTTAACTAACGATTAACTGACTAGTCAAGTGGAATTTCCATCCACTGCTCGACGGGCACTACCGCATTCCTCCTTGGAAACGTACAAGAGCCCCACTGGGCCCCCGCTGGGGCTCTTGTACGTCTCCAATGAGGAATGCTGAACTCCACGTACAGTCCCGCTGACTCCAGGCTGCATGTGAGTGCCAGTTCTGAAATGTATGAGAAATGCCAGCATGGAGCCTGGGATCAGTGGGGGACTCAGAGCCCCCCGTGGAACCCAGGCTCCATGCTGCTCTGCCGATTTGAAATACCACACTGAGCCCAGGCTCAGCTGGGGACTGCTAACCCCAGGTTCCGCACAGCATTTCCCCAGCAGGTCCCGGGTTCCTCAGAAACGCTGGTCGGAGCCCAGGATCAGCTGGGGAGTCCAGCTGGCCCTGGGCTCCACGTAGTGCTGCTGCTTTGAAACACACAGAGCTGACCCCAGGCTCCAGGCAGTGCTGCCCCTTTGAAATGCCATGGCAGTGCTTCAAAGGGGCAGCGCTGCACACCTGATCCTGGGATCAGCTGTGCGGTGCTGCTCCTTTGAAGTATCTCCTCTTTCCCCCCCACCCCGTTTGCTGCCTCTATCTGATAAATAGAGTGTGTGTGTGTGCGGGGAGAATCAACTAGTCGACTGACTATCCGATAAACATTTGCTTATTGGACAGTCGACTAGTCCTTAACATCCTTACTTCAAGTCCCTCATTTATAACTAACTGCCAATGGGCTACTGTCAATCACCACCCTACCTCCTCTGCCAGCTCGGAACTCGCCTACCAGATTCTCAACTCTGCAGGCCATTGGGCCTTAACTAAACACCTAGGCCTGGTTCTCAACTGTTGCGAATAAGCACGGGGCTAGCGAAGGGCGTGACCTTTTAGCTTTCCATCCCAGGCTAGTGCTCGAGGCTGGCAGGGGTCACAACCCTTTCAGTAGGGTGTCTGGAGGGGTGCGATTTCTTTAAAACATATTTCAAACCTCCCTGGCCTTACTGAGTCCTCCTCTGCCACACGGCTGCCTGCTCTGGGGCGCCAAACTGCCAACCGCATCGGCGTAAAGCCTCCCCCGTTTCTGAACACTCAGAGTCCCAGCTCCCCTGAAATTCACCTCCCACTCATCGCATGTGCGTCAGCAGGGTCAGCTCAATGCGCTGTTGTGCGCAGTGGCACCTGTGAATTTACCCTCTTCCCTGCCCACTGGCAGTGCGTGATTTTTAGAAGCTTGTTCATTTTTCAGTTTGGGGGATAAATCATTGATCTGACCGAATTTCAGCCTCTGCGTTGTTAAAAACAATCCCTGGCAAGTGTCTGTCTGCGCTTAGAAATGTGGCATTCAGGATGCAAACCGTGTGAGTAGCTACCAAGAGCTGCATAATTGTTTCTATTCCCTGATCACAAGGCCTAGACTTTATAAACCACTGCTGCTTCCACCTGAAATTCCTTTAGGGGCGGCACAAAACAGATTGTGTTTGCTGATTAAACTAGTATTGGCCACAGGCCGAAAGCAGGCCTCCCTGGACACAGACAGGTAAGCACGGGGACTAATCTAAATGCCATTCAGAGTTCAGCAAAACCATTGGCCAGCGCACGTTCCCAGAACTCACTCTGCTTTTCAGCCACAGCCCTGAGGCATCCCAGCACAGGCTGATACACGTCGCTGCCGAGGGGGTATTCATACAGCCTCCGGTGGCACGCTCTCTCACACGCACACACAGTGCAATGCACGGCTGAGGCAGGTTACTCGCACTTTCTTGTGCCCCGACTGACGTGCGTGACTTATTTCCTTTCTGTGCATTTTCAGATGCCGCCTTCTCAAATGACAGTTACAAAATTACAAACATTTGTTCATTTTTTAACACTAAACTCTTCTGATCTCACCCAAGGCCCCCTCAGTGCCGGTCACGCAAATGCCTGTTACTTTGAGTAAGTGACTACAGTTTGAATGTGTGTGAATGACACGCCGCCTCTCAGGTCACTCAGAGCGCCTTGGACAGCTCCCACAGGGACATGACTCAACTCCCCACGCAAAGCTTGCTTTCTGTGTCGAGTGCCGCTCCGTGCCAGCACCCAACCCCATGTGAACGCTGGTGACAAGACTGCACCGTTAAGCACAGCACCCCAAAAAAGAGGGCACCTAGCCTAATGCAGCCTAGTCTGCTCCACAAGGACATCCCCTCGCCTAGAGTCACAATCGCTCTCTTGCCCATGCGCACTCCCCCGAGGAGCAGAGCTAGTGAGCTGGGGCTGCCCTCCGCATCACACCCAAAGCCAAGGCAGGACCTCAGCTGAGACCTGGTCTTGTTCCCCTGCATGCATAAGCCAGACAAGGCTCCAGGCTCTCTCTCATCTGAATAAATCACTGGGGTTGACTGTGTCTAAATGACAAAATGTGTCCCTGGTTAACTCAAATTAGCAGACTAATCACACACACGTTCCAAAGAATGTGTTCAAGGCAACAGCTGGTGTTGTAAGCACGAGGAATTTCTGTAAGTCATAGCGGTAATTTAGGGAAAACACTGCAATTTGAAAGAAAAAAAGGCTGTAACTCAACCAATAACTCTGTACCCCTCCCTTCCCAGGAACACACAAAAGTACTGCCATGCAAGAGGACCGCAGCGCAAAAACATGCAGCTACTCACGTCTGCAGTGATTTACACTGCGAAGTCATGTTTGTATGTCTGACACAATACGGTAACAGCAAAAAATGAACCATTTTGAAAATTCCTTGTGTGCTGTGAGGTTATGGGTACAGACAGTGGAGGAGATTAAGGATGTTAAATAGCGACGGACTAATCGAAAAGTCGATGCACTTTGCATTGACTATTCGATTAGTCGATAGGGAGCCTCCGCCTTTGAAGTGTAGCAACGGCCCTAGGTCTGTTGCTACACTTCAAATGCAGAAGCTCTGCATGGAGCTCAGGGGCAGCGGGGAAGTCCCCAGCTGATCCCAGGCTCCACGTGGCACTGCCGCTTTGAAATGCTGCATGCAGCCTGGGGACCCTCTCCTCTATCAGAAAGAGGAAGCAAGGGGGGAGGGGAAGGGACTAGTCGACTAGTCCTTCACATCCCTAGTGGAGATGGGGAAAATCTGAGCAGAAGTAAATAGCAGAAATAAGGTGGGGATGGCAGGCTAGCAGGTGCATGATATGGGATAAAACTGAGATCTGTGGATTCCATCCATGTGATGGCAGATTTTGTCTGTGTGTCAGATTTTTGTCACTTCTATCACTGTAGTATTTTAAACACTCTACATGATAAATAAATACACAGCAGCATTCAAGAAAATACCTGGCTGGATCCTAGCATGTGAGTTCAAAAAAAAAAAAAAAAGGAAGTTTTTCTTCACTCAGCATGCTGTCAACCTGTGGAACCCCTTGCCAGAGGATATTGTGAAGACTAGGACTTTAACAGGGTTTTAAAAAGAGCTAGACAGATTCATGGAGGTTAGGTCCATTAGTGGCTATTAGCCAGGATGGGTAGGCATGGTGTCCCTCGTCTCTGTTTGTCTGGAAATGGACAACAGGAGATGGATCACGTGATGATTACCTGTTGTGACCCCTCCCTCTGGGGCATCTGGTATTGGCCACTGCCAGCAGACAGGATCCTGGGCTAGATGGACTTTTGGTCTGGACCCAATATGGCCGTTCTTACATTGTAGAAAAGAAACAAGCTAGATAAGGATACCATCATCATAAGTAGGCCAATGAACAGACATGTAATTATTTGGTGTCAATACATAAAAGTTAAACAATAAAAGTAAATGTGACGTCTACTAGATGATCAGTAAGCTTTGTCTTTTGTTTCTCTCTCCTTGGACAGGAAAGAAGAACTCATCTGTTTTAAGATACAGAGGCCTCACACTGCACTCAGTCCGGCAGAATTTTCTTTCTTGGACAAAATGGCCAAAAAAAGATTTTAAATGTCCTGAAACACTACAGGTCTGCCATCTCTCTCTGCCAAAAGCAATCCTCTCTCCCTTGCACGAGAGGCTACCTCTAGACTGCACTCTAAAATCGAAAAGAGATACACAATGTGCACTACACAAATTGCGCATCTTTTTCCCACTTAATTTCGAAAGAGGCTATTTTGAAATTTGGCACATCTACAGGGCGCCCAATTTCAAAATAAACTGCTTTTTTGAGCCATTCCTTATTCCTTGCAGAATGAGGTTTACAGGGATGGCGAAAGAGGGTGTCTGGTTATTTAAAAAACATTTTGGAAATAGCGGACATGTTCCTCGGATGCAGCACTGTTATTTCAGGATACTTCCGGTATCCTGAAATAGCAATGCAGTCTAGACATGCCCAGAGATGCAAAGCCATCAGATTACTGCTAACCAGGGAAACTAACAGAGTTTGAGGCCAGAAGCAATCACCAGAGGGCTAAGGATGGTACGGTAGCCTGGAGAGTGGATACTTCAATTCAATTCCCTGCTCTGTCAGACTTCCTGCGTGACCTACGGGAGACCGTCTATCATCACATGGCCCATCTGTAGCTGCGATTAGCTTTATCTCTGCCCAGTAAGCCTGACTGCCGTACTATGTAAAATGGTCGAAACTACAGCAAAGAAGAATATTGTCCAAAACACAGATGAACACAATTTGCTGGGAAAGAGGCAACATGGGTTTTGCGAAGAGAAATCATGCCACATCAATCTGCTACAATTCTTTGAGAGGGTCAGCAAGCCTGTGAACAAGGGGGACCCAGGGGATACAGTCAAGTCAAAGGCTTTCTGAAAAGTAAGTACACAAGGTGCCCCCTCCCTGGCATGGGCCATGGGCAGAGGGCAGCTCC